CCACCCCCGCGCCCTGGGTGCTAGGGCCCCCCTCCCAGCTCCTCTGAGGGGGTCACGAGGCGGGGAGGGGCAGTTTGGGTGACTGGGCAGGCTGCTGCCTGGGCAACTGGCCACAGAGTGTCTGTGGGCTCCAGAGACAAAGAGGAACACGTTGGATCAACAGAGGTCCCGGGGGCGGGGCGGGGGAGCCAGGGTCACCTTGGGGACGCCAACCCTTACATCCACCTTGACCTCCAATGGCTGCCCTTCAGCCCCCCGAGCCCACCCCATGCCGGGAGATAAATGGGAGTCCCTGGGCCGAGGTCAGGCAGGAGAGGGGCACTGGGGTCTGACGATCTAGCGTGGCTCCAGCCACTGCTTCCCACCACACACGCACGTGCACACACGCGTGCGCACACACACAGGCACACACGTACACACACGTGCACACAGGCACACACACCTGGGTGCCTGCACCTCGGCCTCCCAGGGTGCGCCTGCCTGTGACCCTGTCACCCCCACTTCACCCCCAGATGCCAGGGCAAACCCGGGGTGGGGTTGTAGACGCAGCCCTGGGGCCTCTGGCGGAGGGGTCAAGGCCAGGGTCTTGCGGGGCTGTGCCCAGACCCCCTCGGGGCTCACTGCACCCACCAACTCCAAATCTGCCTGCCTCTCTCTCATACACCACAGAGGTGCCCTTCCCCCGGGTTGAATTCTGTCTTGTCCTGGGTCCCCCTCACCCCCGCTTCTGGTGGGTCCGATGTCCTCGACTGGGAGGGCCTGTCTCAGGGACACCGGGTGGGGCCCGAGGGTGGGCACCCAGGTCTCCTCAGCCCCACAGCTCCGGTACCGCCCTCGGGCCTGTGCCCAGATGCGGGACTGAGGCTCGGGCAGCGGTGGGTCACCAAGAGCGCTCGCACCTCACCTCGGAGCTGCACCCGGCACTGGTGCAGGGAGCTGGCGGCTTAGACTCCACCGCCTCACACCCTCGAGCCTCCGCGGGCCGGCCAGTCCCTCTCTCGGTCCCGCCCAGCCCACGGCCTGCCTGTCCTCAGACCCAGGGGCTCCGCCCTGCTTTCCACGGGAGCACACACCTGCCCGGGCACACACCTGGCCCGAAGGGGGGCAGGCATCCCTCCTAGAGTTTCTGCCGAGCCCCTGGGAGGCCGGAGCTGACCCTCCCTGCGAAGTTCAGTTCCTGCTTAGGTGGGAGGGGGTCGCCCAGGAGGGCCTGGGCTGGCGCAGTTGAGGCTGCCTGCGTTCCGAGAGGCCCCGCCCTTCCTGGGTCCCACCAGTGTGTGACCAGGGTCAGGGCTGAGAGTGACCAGGGTCAGGCTCAGCATGTGACCAGGGTCAGGGCTCAGTGTGACCAGGGTCAGGCTCAGAGTGTGACCAGGGTCAGCGTGTGACCGGGGTCGGGGTGTGACCAGGGTCGGGGTTGCTCCTTCTGCCCACATGGCCTCCCCCCGCCTGTGGGTGGTCTCCTGTGGTCTCTGGGCTGGAGGTGGGAGTGTCCCCTGGGGCGCCTAGTCGTGCGCAGAGGCTCCCCCAAGGCAGCTGCTGAACCCCTCTTCCACGTCCTTCCGGAAGGACCCCAGCCTGGCTGTGTCCCCAGGGACCAGCACCTCTGGGCGAGGCACTTAGGTTGCTGGAATCACGGAATCACGATGCCATGAGCACCTTCTAGTCTGTGCACTTCCCCGGGGGGAGGCGGGCCAGGGCGGCTCCTTGTCCTTGGGGCTTCTTCCCCCACCCCCCTCCCCATCACCGCCGCCCCACCTTCCCTTCCAGGAGGGCCACACAGCACCCAAGGCCCGGGTTCTTCCGGGGGAACCATCAGGGCAGTGGGTGCCCACAGCTCAGAGTGGCCTCCACACCTGCACCCCCTGCTGGGGCCCTTCCAGCCCTCGCCCGCCCCACCCACACCTGCCTTAGCAGACGCCCCAGGCTCAGGGGCGGGAGGGGGCTCTGTCTCACTCAGTGATGGACAGAGTTCCCGCCCTTCGGGGCAGAGTAGGACCCACGGGACCCTCGACCCTTGGACTGGCCGGCGGGGCCTTGGGGGTCAAGGCAGGGATCCCACTGCGGGCTAGGCCGGACTGCGGAGGGACGCGGTCACCCCGAGGGAGGGTGCGGGGCGGGAGCGCGATTCTGGGGCCTCCTCTCCTCCCATCAGCCCAGCCCGCCTGCCCAGCTCCCGGTGAGGATCCGAGCCCCCTCCCCCAGGCTGTCCGCCCTGGTTGCACGCATCCCTCCCAGTGCGATCAGAGCTCAGGCCCCTCATAAGGCCCGCGCTCCACGTGTCTCCACGGGGCCTGAAAGCCAGACTGGACTGGCCCTTCGCTCATCTCCTAGCTCTCCCGGCCCAAAATAGCCCTGGAGTCAGCTCTGGGCGCCGCCAAATATAACCTCGCCTGCCACCCCCCCCCCCCCCCAATTGTTATGGAACTCAAGGCTCCCGCCGCCGCTTGGGGCGCTCTGTTGGAGAACACGGCGTGGTTGTCTGGGAGCTTTATTTACTTACAAGGGAAGGAGGTGGGCTCATCTAGCCCCAGCTCCCAGGAAAGGCTTGGCCAGCGCCTGGGCCCACTATTTGGTCAGTTCCAGGCGGGTTTCCCATTCGCAGGTGGCTGAGCATACCCCATGGCTCCTGGCAAGCTCCCCCGTTACAGCTGCGTTACAGCTGCGTCTGCAGACACTGTGCTAGGCGTTACAATAGCGAGAGCAGCACTGAGTAACCCCCGCTCCCAACCCCAGACCTTGAGCCCTCGTCCTGGCTGACCCCAAGCTGACACCCTCCCTGGACAGCTGGGGACCGAGCCCTCCTCCAAGGGCCCTCGCTCCAGGGCTGCGAGGGAGGGGGGCCCACCGAGGCCCCCATAAACAGCTCGCATGGCTGGGCACCCCATCCTGGGACGGAGGGCCGAGCTCTCCCACCCGGCCAGACACCTCCAGAGGGCCAGGCCCGCACCCGCCTTTTGACATGGACAGGCTGTGGACGGGGAGCGAGGCCCGAAGGTGGGGGGGAGCTCAGGGGCTCGGAGGCCCGGGGCCTCGCAGACAGTCCTGGGCGTGGCTGGGGGTCGGGGAGCAGCAAGGGGCAAGG